TAACAGAATCTGCCCTGTAACGGGACATCTTTCTGTATTTGTTGAATGGAAAGATGAGTAACCCCTTGATTTAAATGCGTTTGTTTACACTTTACACCAGAGGAAAGAAAGGCTCAGATGGATATGAGGTCCACTAGTCAAACTAGTAAAATTCTGGGGGCACAGGGCATGGTGTTTGGGAAGGGTAAAAAAAGAAGATTCCTTCCCAGAGACTTTAAGGCCAGAACACAAAACTGTACCATTAAATATTCTGGCAGAAAAGGCTGTGCCCCATCTTCATAGAGATGCAGTTAAGCTTAGAGAGACCAAGGGGGTGCCAAGCCTGGGGTACCAGTGACAATATTTGCGCATCCAAAAGACCAGTATAGCCAGGCGTGGTGGCTCATGCCTATAATCTCAGCACTTTGGGAGGCCAAGGGTGGGTAGATCATCTGAGGTCAGGAGTTCGAGACCAGACTGGTTTCACCAATATGGTGAAACCCTGTCTTTACTAAAAATACAAAAAAAATTAGCTGGGTGTGGTGGCACATTCCTGTAGTCCCAGCTATCTGGGAAGCCGAGGCAGGAGAATTACTTGAACCTGGGAGGCGGAGGTTGCAGTGAGCCAAGATTGCGCAACTGCACACTTTAGCCTGGGCGACAGAGTGAGACTCCGTCTCAAAAAGATGAAATCTGAAGACCACTTTTTAGGGAAAATTGGAAGATTTGGGATAGGCAAAAGAGATTACCGGCTAGCCAACATGCTGGAGCTGTCAGGGGTTATCTAGTTCTCTGTTGTTTAAAGGCTCTTGTTGGCTGGGTGTGGTGGCTTCTGTCTGTAATCCCAGCACCTTTAGAGGCTGAGGCAGAAGAATTGCTTGAGACCAGGGTTTCGAGACCAGCCTGGGCAACAGAGCGAGATCCTATCTGCATTCAGGCACACTTCATTTGATTGCACTTTGCTTTATTGCATTTTGCGGATACTGCATTTTTTACAAATTGAAGGTTTGTGGCAACCCTGTAGCCAGCAAATCATTTGGCACCATTTTTTTCCAGCAGTCTGCGTTCACTTCCTGTCTCTGTGTCACACTTCGGCAATCTAGCAATAGGTCCAACTTTTTCATCATTATATTTGCTACGATGATCTGTGATCGGTGACCTTGATGTCACTATTGTAATTATTCTGGGGAGCTGTGAACTGTGTCCGTATAAGATGGTGAATTTTTTTTTTCTTTGAGACAGAGTCTCACTGTGTTGCCCAGGCTAGATGTGAGGGCACGATCTAGGCTCACTGCAACTCTGCCTCCCAGGTTCAAATGATTCTCGTGCCTCAGCCTCCTGAGTAGCTGGGACTACAGGCTAGTGCCCCCACGCCTGCCTAATTTTCGTATATTTTTTTTTAGTAGAGACAGGGTTTCACCAGGTTGTCCAGGCTGGTCTTGAACTCCTGGCCTCAAGGGATCTGCCCAGGCTCCCAAAGTGCTGGGATTACAAGCGTGAGCCACTCTGCCCGGCCCGAGATGGTGAATTTAATAAATGTGTGTGTTCTGACTCCTCCATTGACTCACCATTTCTGTCTCTTTCCCTCTCTAGGCAGCCCTATTCTCTGACAACAGTATTGATAACTGCTCAATGGGCTCTAAGTGTTTAAGTGAAAGGAAGAGTCCTGTCTGTCACTTTCAGTCAAAAGCTAGCAATGATTAAGCTTAGTGAGGAAGGCACGACAAAAGCTGACTGAATTTAGGCCAATTAATAACTCTACAATGGCCTCTCGGTGTTCAAGTGAAAGGAAGTGTCACATGTCTCTTGCTTCAAATCAAAAGCTGAAAATGATTAGCCTTAATGTGGAAGGCATGGCAATTCTCCTGCCTCAGTTCCCCAAGTAGCTGGGATTACAGGTGCCTGCCACCATAGTCGGCTAATTTTTTGTATTTTTAGTAGAGA